CATTCGCAGTGCCCTTGAGCTTTTCTTTCCACGTATGCCTCTTCAGCCTTCGGCGTGCAACCATTACCGGCACAGAGGAATTAGAAAGAAGATAGTTGGAGAACGAGCCAAGAAGGACACTACAGACAAGGTTAGTATTAACTAAACAAGAAATTCAAGTGCGTCACTCACCCCTTGAGTGCACTCTGACCTCGCGCACCCACAATAACAAGTGTGGGCTCAAGTTCATCAATCTGAGAGTCATTGTAAGTTTATTGTATGGATGAGAGAAGATACGGATGTTGACAGCAAAGAAAATACTTACAGCTTCAGTGATCATAGACTTCGGGTTCTTGCAGTGGATCACTTCCACGGCAATTCGGACCTGCAAGACCGTTTTCCGTAGCAACTTCACACAAGTTTGAGACACAGTCTCAACTGCCCTCACCCGTTCCGCCTCGGTTATTGACGATGCCCGGGAATCAGCAGAATGTGTCCTGCTAGCAGTACCAGGACCAAGCCGACCTAGGATCGTACGGGATGCATAATTCTGGTTTGCTTCTTTCGTCTGGGTCCCAACGACGGCCGTTGCATCTTTCATCACTTTGGCCCCTTCGCCGACCTGCACCGCTGAGGTAGTAGTGGAGTCCTCGTGTATGGCGTAGATGGCGAAGATCGTGTCTCCGTCTCTCAGAACTGTCCCGATGGTCCATTCAAGGGCATAGACTGACTCTTCGCTCAAGTCGGTTGCGATTAAATATTTCCGACGGCGACGACGGCTCCCGTCATCCTGTGGACTTGAAAAGTTCCCGCGGACAATTGTTCGGATGGAACGGTTGTGAACACCATTATCAATAGCGGACATGGAAATACCGAGCTTCTGTGCACGATGGATGTCTCCGATCTCAGCTTCATCCTCTGAGCCGTAAGGTGTGCCAACCACTGACTGAACACGCGGGGTGGGGATGTCGAAACTGGTCTGTGGGTGGACCACAGCTTTCAAAGCAGATTTTCGCGGTTTCTTCTCCTGCCGTGCACTGGGATTTTCGGAAGCTTTTTCTGTATGTGAAATTAGTACATTGGGTTTCCCATTTAACAGAAGGCAACATACGTTCTTCAGACTGCTTGGAATTGTTGGATTTCTCAAAGTCGCTTGGGGTTATAGATGTGATATCCGAGTGCTTCTTTTTCTTGCGGCCTCGTTCACCATCTAGGGTGCTGTCTTCGTCGCTTGAAGTATCTTCATCTTCACTGCTTTCGATCATGTTCTTGTCGCGATCGAAAACATCCTTGGCTAGTCGCTCCCCTCCCTCCTCCATGGCTGTCGGTTTGATATAATCAGGCAGGCTTCCATGGGGTTTAGCTACTTCCTCGTCTGACTTGTTGAATGTATTCTGCATGACAAACGACTTTTCTGAATCAGTAGGAGCGGGTGTTAAAGTCTCAACGTGAACAGAATGACTGCCGGAGGAACTGGGGCGACCCCGCTCCGGTGAAGGAGTAGAATGTGCGTCCAGAGACGATCCACGCTGGGAAGGTTCCCGTGATGAGTCTCTGTCTCTGCCGCGGGAAAAGCTTCTCGGAAAGAGACGGCCAGACATTATGGCGGCCATACCCTTGCGGCTCTGGGACCTATCTCGAGCCTGCAAAAATCTCCTTTTTCCGTGTGGCTGCTCCAGAGAAGTAGAAGCGACATCAGATTTTGCACCATCGTTAATGCTCAGGCAACGCGAGGTTGAGCGGACAGTGTCAACGGCCTGGTCGGATGATCTACGAGGAAGAGCCTCGCGATCTGCGGTGTGCCTCTCCGGCGAACTTGGAGCGGACGCCATATCTGAAGAACTGATGCGCAAAGGCGAGGATACGAGTGGCTCAACCGGGCTGCGGGTTCCGCCTGCTCTGGGCGAATAGGTTGTCCCGCCCGCACTCTTAGACTGCGGGGCGATCAGCAGGTTCTGCAGGGCGCGGCTTAGACCCGATGGTTTCTCGTTTATTGGAGTTGATGATGTACGACCATCCAAGCTTTTTAGTTGTTCAGTGGGAGAAGTTCCAGTGTGGTACGACATGGCGTCGCACCGCCTCCGGGTGGGGAACTCAGCATTCAACTCCGCCAAGCACTGAGGAATGTGGAGTAGATCGCCCTGTAATCACGGTGCTAGGAATGGGTCTTCAGCTGAATGGATTAGGGGAATTCAAGAAAATACGCCTGACAGCTTACACAGTCGGGATAGTCATGAAACCAACATTCGATAGTTGCAGAATGACCGGTATTCGGCAATTGGATTCTGCACAAGCAATATGCTCTTTGTGTTGAAAGTAGAAGAGCACAAGAAAAGCGAAAGGAGAGATTGGGAGAAGGAGCCCAAGGTGAGGCTTTTCACTGCAGCCACAGTGGCTGTATTTTCTATCTTCTACCATGTCTGTTTGAAATGTACAAATTTATCTTTTAAGATGTCTTCTCAGATCTAGTTTGTTTTGGGTGTCTTTAGAGATATCTTCTTGAATGCCCTTTTGGATGGTTTGTTGTGTTATAGTCAAAGGAATGAAAGGGTATCGTGGTATGCAATTATAAAACTCCTATTAAACCTACACGATAAACGCCTAGACATGACACATGAATGCTACAGGAAACAAAGACCCTAATTTAAGCCTTGGCCCTCTTCGACTTAGGCTTTGTCCCCTTCCGAGCCCCAACCGCGGCAAATGCTTCCTCGGGGGGCTCATCATCGACACCACGTTTCTTCCCAGGCTGCGCATACTTCTCCTCCAACCGAGCGAGAAAGCCCGCACCACGGTCCTGTTGGCGCTTCCTGATAATAGCCAGAAGATCGTCCTCGTTCGCCGCAGCCTTTGAGCTCTTCGCCGAAGCCCCAGCTTTCTTCTTCTTCTTATCCTCAATCTCCTTCCCCAGCTTCTCTGCCTCCCGCGCCTCCTTCTGCGCCTTCTTCACACGCTGCTGTTTCTTCTTCTCGGGCTCCTTGGAATATCGCTCGAAATCCTCCACTTCCTCGTCCGCAATGGCCTGATCAATGATACCCCGGAACCGTTCATCATCGTCTAGTACATTGGACAACATCACGGTATCGTAGATGGCATCCATGTCGCCCTCGTGTGTTTCATATGCAGCGAGCAGGTCCTTTCTCTCCTCATCTGAGTTTTGGTACTTCTTCTGGAAGTCCGAGATCGCCCGCGAGTCGAGCATCGCCGACAGTTGTTCGCGGTAGAAGTCCATCCAGTTGAAGTCGCCATCTTCGCCGAAGGCTTCGTCTGTGCTGCCGGTCCGGTCGTACACGCTTCGTCGGCGCGCGTCCGATAGTACTCCGTATGCCAGAGCGATTCGTTGGAATTTTGCGTTGGCATCTGCGCGAGCTTCTTCGCTCACCTTGTCTGCTCTGAGGTTAGTATGCTGGATGTTTCCAAACCTGCGTTGTTTGGCATACCGGGATGGTTTCTCAGAGCGCTCTTTTTGTATGCGGTCTTGATGGCTTCTGGGGTTGCATCAGATGCGACACCTAGAATCTTATAGAGATCTTCCTCGACAGATGGCATTCCTTCGCCTGAGGCATGGTTTTCGGGTTTCGGGTTTTTCGCCATTGTGGGTTGTCGGTGATGTGATAGGTGTATTGAGTTGCTCGAGCACCAAGAGGAAGAGCTGAGGGTAACCTAAGATATATCGACCCGAATTAGAATTTAATAAATGAGAGACCAATAATAGTGGCGACTGTACTAGCGTAAGTCGTAGAAACGGAACGCGATTTAGACGCGACGGGGCCATTTCGTCATTCTGCTGCTGCTTCCCGCCTGGCCTATCAACCCACTTTCAAGTACCTCAAGCTCATCGATAGCGCCACTTCAATCTCTTCGGATTTCAAGAGCTACAGAGACCATTCGATTCCTACCAAAACCCCGCATTCTACATCCAAAGCAATAACCTTGCCCATTCCTCTCCCACACCGAACAGCCTAACCCAATCGCAATTGACATCATTCACCATGACGACAACCACCTCCCCTCACATGCCCTACATGAAACAATGCCTCTCCCTAGCGGAAAAATCACCCCCAAGGCCTACCAATTTCCGAGTTGGCGCAATCCTGCTATCCCGCAAAGACGACGACCCCAGTTTCACAGATGACTGTATCCTTTCAACGGGGTACACAATGGAGCTCGCGGGTAACACACACGCAGAGCAATGCTGCTTCTCCAACTACGCTGCAGTGCACAAAGTTCCCGATGATAAAGTTGGCGAAGTCCTCCCCGTCGAGCCCGGCCGCAAGCTCGTCATGTATGTGACGATGGAGCCGTGCGGGAAGCGGCTGTCTGGGAATACGCCATGTGTGCAGCGCATCACGCAGACGGCAGAGGACGGGCGCGAGGGGATTCATAAGGTTTATTTTGGAGTTAAGGAGCCTGGTACATTTGTTGGAGAGTCTAGGGGGTGTCGGATGTTAACTCAGGCGGGCATTGAATGGGAGCATGTTGGTGGGTTGGAAAGGGAGATTTTGACTGTTGCTTTTGCAGGGCACGATAATGCGGAGAAGGAGGTTAGCGAAGCATTGGGGGAGAAGGAGACTAATGTTGATGATGTTAGTGCCGAGGAAAGGAAGAGGCAGGAGGCGATGCCGAGAAATCCGATGAAGAGGATGATGGAGGGGGATAAGCATATCTATCTATAGGGATTGCGGGGTATGCTAGAGTATTAAAAGTAGCGCTGCAGAAATCAGCAATTAGTATGTGCTCCAGTGCCATTATCGGCTGGTTGAAGGTCATCTTGACACAGTGACGTAAAATACTAAAAGGTAGCTAGTAACTCAATCGAAGTATCACCGAGATACGAACTCCACATCATGAAGAGACAGAAAATATTTGCCTGGAGCAATCACGAAATATCGCGCTCCACGGCGTTGTTTATATACAACCACGTGACGTCAACCCGACTTTCAACTGGAGTTCCAATTTCCAATCCAGAATGCAATTCTGGTATCTTTAAACAAGAACATCCCGAGAAAAAAGATGACCCAATGGCAACTGTCAACAATGAGAACCTCGTATTCTATCCCGCGTTCTGCTTCAAGGCATCACCAACGCACTTTACCTGGGTGAAAATGGGTGCGGCCGATGTGCATCGCCTCCGAAGATCGAGTAACTTTGTGGGTATGTTCTTTTTCCGAGCTTGCAAATTCTTCGTGCCCCTGAAGATCGATGCGCCTAGCGCGCATGTGCATATTCTTGGGTACTCTAGCGTGAAGGCTTGGAAAGGAGGCGTTAGCGTGACGAAGTTCATTTGATATCTCCCACCAGACTGTCTATACTTCCTTTTCTGTGTACCTAAACTTCCCATGTCCCAATTCCCTCTATCATACCTTTCCAACATATCCAAACATATTCTGTCTTCCTATTGCCCAATATATCCCTCTAACCAAAATCCAGCCTAAAGCAAAATAACTAACAAACCCCCACAGGCCAAAACATCTTCTTCTACAACAACCATCCAATCCAATTCGTCAGCCTAGTAGGCGTCATAGTGGCGCGAACTGATTTCCCATGGCGCACAATCCTAACACTAGACGACAGTAGCGGCGCAACAATCGACATAGCCGTACAAAAAAAGACCGAACCAAAATCCAGCACCACTAGTCAAAAAAACCCCACCACAGACCCGGAACAACCAGAATGGTCCTCATTTTCACTCACAGCGCCAACAGCCACCAGCCTCACTCAAACAACACACCTAACCTCCAAAGACCGCGACGAGATAGACATCTCAGCTCTCCAACCAGGAACACTAGTCCGGGTAAAGGGGACACTATCAACTTTCCGCTCGCAGATGCAGTTAAATCTCGAACGGTTCTGGATTGTGCGCGATACGAACACCGAAATGCAATTTTTGGATACCCGTCTGCGATTCCTTATTGAGGTCTTGTCTGTGCCTTGGGCGTTGACTGACGAGGAGATTGAGACGCTGCGTGCTGATGCCGAGAGGTGTGATGAGCGTGCATTGGAGAATAAAAAGCGAGCGGAGAGGGTTGCGAGGAAAAGGGTTGAGCGGGAGAAGAGGCATGCTAGGGCTATTGCGCGCCGGTATGAGAAGGAGGAGAATGAGAGGGAGAAGGGGCTTAGGGAGATTAGAGAGGATGGGGAAAGGGTTATGAGGAAGTTTGGGTTTGGGGCAGGGTGAGAGACCTACACATCATGATAGTATACGAGGGCCGTGATCAGGTAGGATGCCACAGAGGCTGATATTCCACGGGCGATTCCGTCCTCAAAACCCACTTTTTCATTCCCAATGCTATTGATGAAATTATAATCTCACATGTATTCGGATCAGAACAGAACATCAATCATGGAGATATCGTCAGTCATGCACAACCCCAGAAAGAAGGGGTATATTCGTATCCATGCAACGCCAAAAGAATCAGAATCAGAATCAGAATCAAGATCAAGATCAAGATCAAAAGTTGAAATCGAGAGCCAAAAGAACAATAAAAATGACCTTGACATGCAATGATCGCCAGAAAAAAACCAAACACATCAAAACATAGACCAAACACACCTCAACGGTATGCATACTTGTCATACTTATCATACCAAGGCCCAGACCCCCCATTCTGCCCACTTCCACGATAGTACTCATCTTCACTACCCCGACTACCGCGATGATACCTGCGCACATCATCCTCAGACAGATTCGCAGTAGGCGACTCGGTGTATCCCAAATCATGTGCCGACAGCCCCGCATATCTCGCCGAATGATCACGACTGTGCAAATCACCCTCCGAATGCCTATAGTCACCACCACCGCGGTGCTTCACACCCTGTGACGAGCTGCGGGAGTCATGCGAGAACCGCTTATCAGCAGAATGGCCAGATCCCGAGTGTGAGTACTGCAGGTCGCGGTCATAGGACTCGGGCAAGCGGTGTGCTGGAGTTGGCTCCGATGCCGATGCCGGTCCCTTGTAGGTAGAGTCTGAGGCTCGGGGCGTGGCGAAGGAGTCCTCGTGGCTGCGACTCGAGCCTGATTCTTCGTAGACTTTGCCGACACCTGGATTGGCGCTGTACGGCTTGCGTTCGCGCTCGATTGGCACTGAGGGGATGGGTTCGTCTTCGTCGTCTGTGACGACGGTCGAGACCGGTCTTGGTTGTGGTTGTTGGGCTGATCTTGGGGTCGAACCGGTGGGGCGGGGTCGGCCTCGCTCGTATGAGTGGGTTCGCTCTGTGGGTGATGCGGTTGTGGTGGATGATCGGGTCGGTCGGGTGGTGGATTGATTGCGTTCTTCCGGGGTGATGTACGGTAGATCGACGCCGCAGTGGACCATCAGACGGTCCTCGATGTCTTCTCTGATTGCGATATCTCCGACTTCTGGGAAGAGACGGCGTGGGATTTCCTTTGGGAAACGCTCTTTCTTGTCGTCTGGGTTGTTGATGGGCATGTTGAGGACTGCTTTTTGGAGCCGCTCGTATTCGCGCCCTGGGTTTGCGAGTATCATCAAGGTTGCCCAGGTCTCGAAGCCTTTGGGTGTTAGGCCTGGGATATCTGGGCGTTTTTCTATATCATCTTGGATGAGATGATGTTCGACCTTGATTTCGCGGAATAGACGGGATATCGAAGATGTACGGTCGTCGAAGATGTCTAAATATTGAGTCAGAACATGACATGTCAATGAACGGATCAAACCACTTACCTTGCCATGGATAAGGGTCATTGGGATCATGAGTATCACGGTAGAATTTTTGCAGCTTGTGAGGGGGAATGACCAGAGTGTTTCCCGGCGGATAGTCCTCAATCTACCCAAGTCAGCCATCAAAATCCATCGTATATCAGAACGGACAAAAGCTCCACATACCAGATGAACCGCAATTCCGCGTAAGAATTGGCCAAGCCTCTTCGTCGGCTTACCATCTTCAAACAACTTCCCCCAAATTCGCTCCAGAGTAGTCATCTCCGTAACTGTGGCGTCCCGATCTGGAGGCTTGGGGCGCTCCGCCTTGTGATGGCTATGATGACTCCGGTCACTACTCTGACTCGATGTAGAATTGCATCTTTCCACAAGGGGATCAGGCGTAGGTTTGGGGCTGAGACGACTATCACTAGCGTAGCCGGAGACGTTTGGCTGGAAATTCACAGTATGGATATTGTCGGCCGAACTGGGAGGGGGGATTGAACTGCTTCGCAGAGGGGGTACGGCAGGAGGCTCTGCGTTTGGCTGCAAAGAGGCCTCCTTTTGCCATGGTGGCTGTTGTGATTGTGAACGGGGCGGGGGCGCACCCGATCCTTGTAGGTTGTCTAACCCAGTTGTCTTGAGCTGCTGAATCACCGTTGCTGTGATTTGCGATATAACTTCCGGGGAGAGGTAGCCTGTGGATCCACTATTGTGAAATGCGGAGCTCACTGCGTCGTCTATATGCCCAGTGCTGTTTGGGGAGGAGCGCTGGGATCCCGGGTAGCTGTATGACTCTGGGGTTGAGCCTGGGGCCGAACCAGCCCACGGCGCCTGTGGCTGCGGCATATTCAGGTGGGTTTGTTCGTGGTAGGACGGATATGGAGGTGTTTGCGAGTATCCATATTCGTTTGGATCTGGGTTCATTTTGCCCGTTTGATGTGTATTCCTGGCGTAATTTCCATCGTAGGCCATACGGGGGTCTCGGGTGGTTAGATGTGGCTGGGCTGCTTTAAAGGAATTTGGAGAAGTTCTAGAAAGAAGAAGTGCAGATCTGGGAGAGGTTACGAATTACCAATATTATGGTGGAGGGGGACTAGTGGGGGGGGGCGAGTGAAACGTTGTGGCGATCACATCGTCAGTGGAAGACAAATTTTAAGATTCTCTTTGTACTCCCCTCGACGTCACCTTGTTCTTATATTAGCCCTTTGTTATATTAAAGTCCCACAGATGTTCTATCATATTGCTAGACTGAGTCAGAGCGACACGATCGGCAGACTAATAGAGCATGCATATCGCAGTGCATAGCACCCACGGACTTGGGTCCTATTGGCTTTTATTGCCAAAGTTGGCCATCTTTGTGGTTTCCTAGGCTACTGTGGCGTAATTAATTGATTGAATAATATTTCCAACCAACTGAATATCTAAATTATTCCAGTCCTATATCGCTAAGCAGGGAGGCCATATAAACCAGCTATCTTGCTTTGATATAATTGACTAGATGATTATGAAATCATAGAAACTTTCCATTAGGATGATACTTGAAAGACAGAGCGAGCGATGAGTCCTCAAAACCAATAGAGCCAATATCCCCAGTGGTCGCTATGCACTGCGATACATGCATATTCCATGCGATGTGTGCATTACAGTTTCCCTTGCACCTATCAGAGTTGAGAAGGGCATTGTTTCAAAAAATGATCTATGTCATTGCCAGCTATCGGCTGGGATCCGACGGTCGGCTCCGATCGACAGATCAGAGTATTATTATAGTCTTGGGGATTGTCTATATATTCTGTAGTGCTACCCTCTTCTCCATTCTCACATTATGATTCATCACCATTGGGAAGCCACAAGTTTACCAACTCCAAATACAAGTTGTCCCTATGGCCATTCCTACCGAGATAGCTGGAACATCCCTAAATAATAAAGTCGAACTACAAGCTGATTTATAGTGGGTCGACGGAACCACCGATGTCATAACCATGGCGCTATTGCCTCCCGGGAAGGAACATAAAAACTTGGATTGGTACCTATGTACAATATATATACTTCGTTATAAAGACATATCCTATCGGTAAATTCTATGTAGCCTGGTCAGCAATAAACCTGAAAAGAGACAATAATTCGCACACATCTTCAAGAGTTATCGGGAAAGGAATTATATTGAGCCATCTCGATTATCGTACGAGGAAAACAGAAAGTATCACAATTTTCGGGGACAGTGAACAAAGGTGACACTTATATAATGTTTGCACCCACGCGATCCTACCTAGTCAGATCCTCGCCTTAGCTCAGGTCTCCAGGCTCCAGGATACACTACGGTTCCCCACATAACAAGTTCTCTCCAGATAGATATACGAGAACCCCCGGATCCTCGTTAGCATGAATAAACGTCAGCAGGCAGTCCAGCAGGTATGTACAGTACGAGTACCTTTGCATATTTCCGATATGCTTGACGTTGGCAATATTACAGGAGTGGCGCCCTACACTGCGAGACTGCAAAACTACGAGACTGCGGGATGGCTCGGATGGAATGGAGCATAAATCATCATGGATGCTGATACCGTTCATGCTATAACAGGCCTGCTGTCTCTTAAGTTCTATTAGCTGTTTGAAGAATCTAAAGTGGGAGATTGTTTGTTTAGGTTGATAAGGATTTGTCCTTCACCCCTCAGGCATCTACAATCTAGGAAGAGGTTATCAAGAGTAGTATGTCCACGTTACAATCTGAATATAGTCCGATTTCTGTCAATGTAGCTTACTTAGGCCACTCACCCCTAAGCTCACCTGGGCAGCTCATACCTAGTCAGTGAATCTGGGCGCTCAGTTTTACTCGGTTTTACTCGGTTTTACTCTGTAAGCAAAAAACGGCAAGGTCTGAGCACAAAAACGGACAGGGAAACCCAAAAAGTGGATAGAGGTCTTCGTAAAACATAGTCAACCCTAGGACTATAGAAAAGGAAGCGAAAACAACAACCTTGGAAAGTAGACAGGGTTATGTCAGGCGCGGACTGAGAAGTCCACCCCACCCTGTAGATAAAAGCCTCGTCACTCAGAATATGAATAAGGCATTTGCCAGACATAAGGCTAGAATCACTAGAAACTCACCTCCCCTGAAGAAAAAGGGAAAAGTGCGTCTGTAGACAGGGGGGTATCATGGGTAGACGCAGGAGTCAAGCCTTGTGCATGCAAAGTCGAACGACAAACTAGGTGTGCTGTAGAGATAAAATAAGATAATGATGAAGAGCAAGCCGTGGAGTGCAATACTAGGCGTGGCCCAACAGCCAAACTGCTCATAAATAGAAGCATCGTCAATCATAAACCGAGTGTTGTCCATAGGAAAAGCAGATATGGTGTTGAAAGCAATCAGAGAAACCTTCCTCCTTTCCAAGGAGTGCCATCATCAGCCTTGCGGGTACCAGGTGCCCAGCCTGGGGCGGGCTCGGGGTAGGGAACAGGCTGCTGGCGAGGACGGTGCGCCTATAAGATACAAAGTTCTGTTAACAGTCCATTTAGATATATTGTTGGAATAAAGTCACCCACCTTTACTTTTGCAAAGCCACCCCGGTTCGCATTACTATCACTATCCGAGGAATCGTCACGCAGGACAAGAGCTTGCTCGATACCACGCTCCAGGCTCTCCTATAATAGAAGTATATACATGAGTAACCAAGACTTGGCCAGAGCTGATGTAGTTCTGATCACTTACCGGCTGACCCAGAGAGTCAGAGAGATTGACAGACTCAGGGCGTCCCGCAGACCCAGACAGAGCCACAGATCCAGAGTGGGCTGCAGATTCAGAGTTGAGTTCATCTTCCTCCTTCTCTTCCTTTTTCTCAGCCACAGCTTTGTCCGTGATTGCAAGAGGTTGATCGATAGGATCAAGGGACATCTGGTAGTTTATGCAGGGCTGGCAGACCTATGGAGACCAACCAAGTGTTAGAAGCAGTGAAAATGTATGCTTTCACGGCCGAGGAGAATAAAAAAGGACATACCGGATTCTCGCGATTCCGTTGGTTTCTAGCAAATTGGTCGATGGCACGGTAGTGACCACAATGATGACACAGCTCCTCACAAACCTGAGCATTCGTGCATGGGCCACACTTAGCAACCTGCTGGTCACGGATGTTGCTGTAGCCAAGATCGAACATTGCCTGGCGGAGGTAGTTGAGCTGATTGTTCGAGTACTGTGACTTCGGGCGACGCCGCTTGCAGACGCAGCATTTGATTCTATAACAGTGAGCAGGTAAAGATCAAGACGGATAAAGGATACTGACTCGTTTGGAATCGGCATTCGGTCCACGCTATCGATACTTGGTTAGCGACTATCTGGCTTCTTAGAATGAGATTTGGTTAACTGACGCCTCTCTGATTTCTTGTGTGTACCCTCGTGCAAACGGACTCAAGGGGGCTCGTCTCCGTCGCTGGGGCATGGCCAAATGGTATTTCAGAAAGGCAAAAAACTCATGTAAGGAAATAACATAGATTCGCGGGATGCTTCACAGGGTGGGTGTAGTGTCTGACGGCAAGAGAAGAAGAGAAACGGAGATGGAAAGACTGTCAGTTTATACCGACAGGGGAGGCACAATGAGGAAGCTGCGTGGGTTGGTTTTTCCGAAAGTGAGAGTTTTGGACTGGCCACTTCAATCACCTCGTATTTGCTTTTCTATCACAAGCATTGTTTTTCTTGTTCTTTTGGTTTGAAGATCTGCCAGCAAGAAGGACTGAAGACCTAGAAGAGAAAATGATGACAGGAAGAGATGGTCAGTTCAGGGTAGTAGTATTAACTCTGAAGTAGGTAGATATATATAATAGCTGAGCACACAGGTGAGCATGTAGGTACCATGCAGATCCAATCAAAGCTATCAACAAACAATATAAAGGGCATTGTGTGCCGGAAAGCAAACACGCAAAACAAATGAAGGCCTTGGACCTCGAGTCTATTGCTCGGGGAAATAGACACTGCCAAAATGAACCTCTTGCAAAGCGTCTAAAACGAGTAACATCAAATTACCATTCATTCTCACCTCACTTCAAGGCACCACATTTTACACTGTCTTTTATATGTTTTGCGGCTAATTCTTTATCATTCTAGTGACAACACTAATGAGAATAGGAAATATCGAAAAAGGTATATGAACGGTCTATATGAGGAGACACCGAAACGGTCTTCCAAAGCATTACCGAAAACCCCGAAAACGATATGAACCGGCCACATCAGCCGCCGACCAGTTTTTGGTATTATGTCTATAAAAAAGCAAACATATAGCATGATAAGGTTGCCTTGAACATTACTAATTATTCTTTAGTAGGGCAATGACAGAGATAGTAAACAAACCTCTTACAGCACCTCCAAAAAGGAGTGACATTAGACCAAATAGCAGTCTCACCCTACCCCAAGGCGCCCACATGTCAAACTACTCTATTTTTCTTCTCGAAAATCATAGAAGAAGCGGAGAAAATCCCTAAATAAAAGCAGAATTGATATTTCCTGCATCCACTATAGGGGCATTCCCTAATTCAAACAGGAGCTAGTAATTTCAAACCAAACTGGACCAGTAAAACTGACCTCAGGAGCATGACGCTGATTCGAGGCTTTTTACCCTCAAGTGTGATTCCTTACTTACCTTAGGCTGTAGGTTATAGTAGGTTATATGTACATGTAAGAAAACAATATTGGAAACTGCGTATACTAACTAACAGTTTACTCCTTCTAGTTATTATATATCTCACTATACAAGACTCCCGTTATAGTCAAAATTCTAACACAAGACCTCGTCGGAGGCGATTTGCCAACATATTACCTAGCATATGAAGAAGCTGCAAGGTAGGTAGCTTTGAGTAGGAAGTGAAGAGATGCTTATCAATGATGAAGAAAGTGCAAAGCAGATTATAGAGAAAATGGTTATATGTAGTGTTTCTTATGCCTCCCCTAGCAATAGATAGATAGCCTTGCCCCTTCATGGGCTACTGGCGGAGGGAAGGAAGAGAAAGAAGAATCATTGTTCTTCAATCTAGCAAAAAGTAGGGTATTTATACCCTGGTATCTTACAAACAATCTGCTCAGTCTGCAAGCAAATAATCCTGGGATGGTCTAATGTTCAACACCCCTTCAAGGTCATATATCAATTTCTTCTTCTTCTCCCTCTCTACACAGAACCATTTATCCCACCGAGCATCACCTTCATCGGGAGAAGCCTTACAAAATCGCAACCATACTTAATTTTTTTTTGACGGCGACTTTGTTTAAGACGATGCCTAGGGAGGACTAGCACCGCCAATGTGAGACTACGAACAATTCCTTACGCCTCTACGACCCGAGCTGGAGCTGAAAACAGGAGCCAGGACGAGGGCAGGCCCCCAGGAATATTACATACCTTCGGCATTCTAGCATTGCCCTGGGATTATGCTAGGGCCAGTACCAATCCTAGATCGCGCGCTGGTACGTCAATATAGATCCCTATGTTCGGAACTCACGGGGCAAACTATAAGGTCTACAGCTATGTGCGCACATAGTTGTGCTGAGAAAAAAGAGTGACACACACTATTACTACTTGCAAATTGTTTGAAATGCAAACGGCTTAGAGATCTGTCCCATGTGTGCAATAATTCCTGAGGCATCCATGGTCCCAACAGACCCCGGGTACTTCACCCTCAGTAATTACTGGCCCAGTTTACCCAGATAACGTATAACCGTGGAGTGTAAATTTTTCAACGAACAGCCCGTTTGGCGCAGTGGTAGTCGCGCATCACTTGTATAATTAATACTAAGATCATGATGAGGTCTCTGGTTCAATCCCGGAAATGGGCTTTCTTTTTTTTCTCCCCCCAAGAGGGAGCGTCCAGTAAGGAAGCGTCAGTAGAATGAAAATGGAAAAGATTTTCGGCCTAAAATCTCGACTATGTAGCGTAGATCTATAGTGCGATCATTATTTCGCTATATTGTACGGAGTACAATCAAAGATGACACGGTGAATGGGAGGCCAGAAACGACCGCCTTTGACGCCGTTTTCGGGAGGGGAGCCATTTTCGGCTCTTCTGTTAACCGTTCTGCTTCCCCAAGTTTCTATAGATATAGACTGGTTAGACTCATTGAATTAGGAGGCAAGGGAGCTCCAACAGCTGATGAGTATTTATTTAGTAACAGATTTCGAATCTGTACGGTGTGTCCCGATCTACGTGATCGCATCCTTCGTTTGTTTCCTTTGTTCTTTGTTTGCTACTATTCCTATTCGGGTAATGGCATACTTGCTAATTAGGAAAGAGTTTGTTTGCTTGCTGGGATAGCTTCTGCTATAAGATCCTTTGGAATTTACCACTTGCTTCCCCTCTCTCTCCTTCCTCCTTACCTTTGCTTATCTACTTTGAATGCTCTCTTTCTCGTTGAATGAACTGGCACGTAACATGGAGAAACTGCATGGAGAAACTGTATGCTTATTCCTATCAAAGGGGATGGACGGAGGGAGGAAGAAAAAAGAGAGTTATTTACAGCTCTCCATGGTGATATCAAAAAATAGGTGCGGTCACTGCGTGCGTGTTTAATCCCCCGGGCCACCCAACAATGATCAATCATGAACAACATCCAGCTTTTGCTACCGCGGAAGTTCGACAGAAGCACGAAACATTGACTGGAACATCAGCAGATGCCAAGGCAATATCCCGTGCAGGGTGAATGAAAGCAGCCTCCTGCGTCTTTCCAAGGCGAATGAAGCACTCGTATAAGCCATGCAATCCCCAAACATTATTGAGTTTTGCCTTGCGCCGAGGATAGTCAAGAGAGAAGCCAAGGTCTTCCTTGAACAGGGTTTCTGCTTCTTCGACACGTCCCTGCTCAAGGAGTAGGCCACCGAGCGCATGGCGGACTGGCTGCATCCAGGCAGGGGGGTCAGTGTACGCGAGCGCGTCCTCGCGCACAATGGCTTCCCGAAGGGAACGGAACGCCGTCTCAATATTTCCCTTCCGATATTCTAATTCACCAGCAAGCATAGCAGAGCTAACTGCGAGAACATCTTCCTCCTTGCAAGGAATGCTGTTGAGTCGGGAGCTAGGAACGGCCCTACGCGCCGTTTCAAACTCCTTCTGGGCGGCTTCGGCTTCTGCAATTCGTCCAAGTGCGCTAAATGCAAGCCCGCGAGTATAATGAATGATGGCTGTAGTTGCGCAATATGTATCGCGATCGGTGGGAAATTCAAGGTCAAGAATCTCTTCCCAGCGACCAAAGCGCACTAGCACGTGTGCCTCACTTCCCACGAAGCTCTCGATGAAGTCTGCCATTGGGGGACTTTTAATGGATAGCAGGTTCGGATCAATGATCTGTTTGAGCTTTTCTGCTGCGGACATCGCGTCTGCGAATCGGCCAGACATCATAGCGGAATACAATTTTGCACAAACGTAATGCACCCGGTAGGCCGCATACATAGTGATACCCGTCTCTCGGGCAAAGTAGATGTCGTCGGCAAGCATCGCTTCATGGTTAGAGTCGATACCACGGCGATAGTCACCGACAGCAGCATCAATATGCGTCGGCATGTGCAACATATGCGAAGCGTGCGGAACCATGCCACGTAGCCGATCCGCAGCCGGCAGAGCCAATTCTGGAAATGGTGACATCTCCATCATGTGTATGTGTAAATGACAGATTGCTGGATGGTTGCGACCGGTAGTTTGCAGTTGCAGCTCAATCACTTCGCGAGCCTCAACTGTGTGATCCCCGGTTGGTTTACCGGTGTTCAAGTCCCACAGCCCGCGCGGAGTGATACACATAAGCGATTCCGCAAATAGCGCAGCCACGTCCACATCATCTCTGAACTGATGATAGGTAGAGCGCATCGCGTCCGCATAAGCGCGGTCGAAAGGGCCCAGATCCTCGGGGATGTCATCAACTGGTGGGAAACGAGCGCCGATCGCCCCGATCAACGCTTGTTCGACTGGTGTGGCCTGGCTCGCTAACTTGGACGCTCGGACGAGGGTATCCTTGACCTTCTTGATAGAAGCCTGACGGTCCTCTGGGTCAAAATATCTCCACGCCTTGTTGTAGTTGGGCCCAGTCGCATACGCAATTCCCCAGAGCGCCATAACGCAATTGGAATCGCTTTCGGCAGCTCGTTCAAAGCATCGGACCGCTTCGCTATGGTTGAAAGAATGAGCCCATATCAACCCGCGATTGAACCACAATTGAGTTTCCGCTGACGAAGTGGTCACTGGTCGACGATACGAACCAAGGTCATAATATGCCTCTTCCTCAGCTTTGGCGGGATGATTGGATTGATTTCTAATGGAGTGTTAGAGCACAGTTGATGTTACAGATTTCAAGAGACTCACTGCATATTGGAAGTATCAAAGTTAGCGGATTTCGTCATAACTCTAGGGTCAGCAGATTAATGTAGTTACGCGGGAGTTAGGGTCAAGTTATATATCCAAGGATGGGGAATGCTTTATCAGCCACACATGGATCCATCATCCCCGCAAGTGATTTGCAAAAAGACAGCCAGGCACGTGCATCTCTGCGATCCGAGCACGGGCGGGATACCGAGCAGGATCCATGGTTACATATCCCCGGGGCAGGGATTAACAATCGAATAGAGATACTCCGAGATACCCGGTAAGTTTACACTTTCATGAACTTCCTTCAACCTTTACTAAAACAAAACCCATTTATCTAGGTACATAGGGCACGCTTAGGAGGAAGTGTCTTGGCTAGAGACTAAGACAAGTGTATAAAAGCTAGAAGGTCAGACACACAAAATATTTACGTTACGTTCATTTGTTGTGCTGACACGTTACGGACCCACTGTGGCGTTTACCCTGTCTCAAAATGGCTAGCATTCCCGCCAAGACTAGATATTGGGAATCCAACTATAACACTGGTAGAACATGTCTGATACTTTGTTTTTGACTCCAAGATCAAGGTGAAAATTTTACATCGCAACGGAGAATTGGAGTTACGTTTTGCTGAAGGTAAAATAGGCCGGTAGAATTGAAGAAGATTTCCAATTTCTTTCTCTTAGGTGCGCGTTCTCTCCCAAATTGGGGTCTGGGTGGTAAGAGCAGCGGCTCACGCAACACTTGAAGTCAGTCAATATTTTACCAGGGTGATTTCTGGCCGACGAGGCTTAACCCTTGATTGATATGTACCTTCCAGCAGAGATAATTGACCTGGTATGATTTGTACTAATCCAGCCCTGCGCCACTACTGAACAATTCTTTTGGCAGATTACGTTTTATGTCGAGATCGGCACTTCGCAATCTTCTTTAAAGACGTCGACTTCTCGAGCATTTCGAATAGTGAACAACTATAACCGGAGGAATCTGGCTAAACTCCGCTTGGTCAACAAAAGCTTTTGTCATAGTGCCTCAGCCCGTCTTTTCCGACATATTTTAGCCCTAGCCGGTTCATTGTACCACACCAGGCACTTTCCATCCTTAGGAAAGCTGGTGGGCCTTTCCAACAGCCCGTATGCCCAGCATGTGCGTCAAGTCGATATTGGATACGGTTCCTTCCCATGTTCGATAGAGGAGGTTATATCATACACGGAGGACCTTGCCGGCTTGCTGTCTTCATGCTTGCGTCAATTTCCCAATCTCAAAGCTCTCGACTTCCGTGGTCCGTCATTCACGTTCTTGCCCTATGATAAGACGAAAGCATCGATCGACTCGATGCTCATGTCGTTATGCTACGTGCCTCTGCCCAACTTGACAGAACTTGAACTTCAGTTACCGATGACGAATGATTTTGCTCCATTGTTTGCCGAGAATATCAGCACATTGCGGATACCGATTGAACAGACTCTCAGCCGCCTTCACTATCTTGGATTGCACGTCTATGCGCAAACAAACCAGCAATCCTGTGCAGCCCACTTGTTGAACATTGTGAAGCTTTCAACAAGCCTGACTTCCCTCTCGCTCAGCAGCACAAACTACCTAAGTATTGATCGTCTGAAGCTCGGCTCAACGGTTCGCCTACGGTTTTTGTCCCTGCACAAAGTGAAAATTTCATCTCGAAATCTCGTCAATATTATTGAGCAATGCAGCGAGTCAATGCAGTATATCGAGTTAAGGCACGTGAAGCTCGAGGCTGGAACATGGAGAGAGATTCTGTCCGCAATAGATAGTTTACCGCACCTATATGACTTTGACATATCCGTTGGCGAAACTCCCATGTGAAACGTGGGGTTTCATTCAGTCCCGACAACATTCTTCACTGCAGAGAATGTACAGGATCCCGGGTCGTTTTGGCTTGGTCATGTTACATTTCAAAACCTCAAAGGATATAAATGGAACGAGCAGTGGCGCGGCATTTCAGCCGTTGAACACGGCCCTGCTTTGTATGGCATTGAAGATCAAACGTGGGAGAATTGAAAGATAGCTTGTCCCCAATGGATGGTTTACTCTATTTATATGACTACCACATTTGTTGGCACGTTTCTCACAAGAAGTGGATGGTTTCATTCGGCTCCAAAACTGTGATTTCCAGCCTAGAAACTCTGTATAATATATAACTATTCTTCCTCATTAACGCTTGGTGATCATTGAACCTTTAGTGCCGGTAAGGGGTGAAGTCCTCCTTCTATAGCTTGGTTTTCATGCAGTGTAGCCAGTTCTTACGCAGGGACTAGAAGCCGGGGGAGGCTAGGGCTACGCTATCGCCTATGGCACTAATTTCATTTGGGCCCTTACTCGCAAACTATACGATTTCAGTGCGTCAGGATATTGTTCGAGCGAGAGTCGATGTTTTATGGTGGCGATTGCCTGGTGAGCCCCCCGGCACTATCTATTAGCAGAGCCGACATAACTCATCGTCGACAAGTCTCCAAGACACGCAACCTTCCAAGTACTATGTAGATCCTATCTTGACCGATGAGAATATTTTTCTGTTTCGTGGTATATTTCGTTTTGGAATAAAATTGGTGAGCGTGAGTGTGAAATCTTAGCTTTGGATCTGAGAAATTTGTCTAAATCAACTTAGGAGTAAAACGATCTATTTGACATAAGAGGGAAAAGAACAAAGAAGAAAAGAAAAATAATTGAAGCAGGAAGAGGGCAACAGGGCCGCAATAATGAAAGATTCACAATCAAAACACAACCTTAGGAACGCCAGGAACTGTCCAGCACACCTTGTCCAAAAATCCCTCTTGGGTGAAAACCTCCCGCAACTCTGCTCCACCCTCCTTGAAGTGATCCCACGATTCGAAATGAATTGGGACCATGACATCGGCGCCAATATCACGGGCAAGCTGAACAGCTTGTTTACCGTCCATTGTAATCTGAATAGGGCCAGTTGGGAACTCAAAGGTGGCATTGCCCAAGTTGAAAATGCCTGCAGTAATGTGCCATCTCTTTCCAATCTCTTTCAGTTCATCAATGTAGACGGTATCTCCAGAGAAGTAGATAGCATTAGGCTTGCCAGATGGATCAACACCGAAGGAATCGGTCTCTAGGACGAAGCCCGTAACTTCTCCAACTGGGAAGTGCTTGCAAGGCGTACCAGTGATTCGGTACGTTTTTCCTCCAATGGAAGAAGTCACAGTCTCCCAGGGGCGAAGGCCAACGACTCCTGGGCGTGGGCGCAAGTTGGAGGCACCGTCCATGGTGGTAAACACCTTTCGACCATCCAGCAGCTTACGGCCTTCTGGGTCCAAATTGTCAAGGTGATCCTCATGGCTAAGAAGCACAGCATCGATAGGCGGCAGCTCATTGAGCTGAAGCGCTGGCCCTTTCTTGTTCACAAGGTGCGGTGGTGGCGGGATGCTCTCAAGACCGTACGGTTTCAGGTCCATTTGCTCCCAGACCGCGGACGAATCATACTCTGTCCCTTCGATGGCACCGAAGAATGGATCTGTCAGGAAGTTGACTCCATCAATGTTGAGAATGGCAGTTGCAGTGGTGATGTGTGTGATTGTAAGGGTTGGCTTGGATGTTGCTGCCATGACTGCGGTAAGAGCGAAAGTCGGGGGATGTAAACTTTTGATACTATGGATGTGAAATGGAATGGAATATTAAGACCCTCTGTCCAAGGGAAACCGAGGTTTAAATACTTTGCTTTTCTGGAAATATTAGAAATTATGTTTCGTTCTACTGATGATGTAAGTTCGGCTCATCCCACCCGTGGAGATAAGCTTCATTTTGCCACGATGGAGAGAAATTTATAATATCTCTGCGGGATGTCCACGGGTTTATTCAGTAATCCAGCCCAGTGATTGTGAATCATATTGAGTGATTTTTCTCTCCTCTTTACTGAGTAAGCAATTGTTCACGAAGGGGCACGCAGGGTCGCTTTCATTATTAAGGCCTTAATGCCTGAATTTAAGCCTAAATTTAAGCCTCAATTTGGACCGCTTTTTGACATTTATTTAGTAACCAAGAATAACCATGCCCGATGACCTCATAAAAATGAAGCTTTTAATCCATTATGATGAGTATAGTATACCACCTAAAAAAATTGACGAATTTGTAGGGGATCAAAGGCTTCATTTTCATATATGGCGAGAAATATATAACTAGTAAGCTACCTCAAAACGTGGTGATATATAAATTTGTATAAGATTAGAAGCTTCATTTTACCTGCCCAAAAACTAAGACACTTTGCTCATCAGTTAACTTTAAAGTCTCTGTAATGGTAATTCAAGTATTCTATTCAGGATATCCCGTTGCAACTACGAAAAGAAAACGGTAACCTCTCTAGACTTTATACTCAACCGTACCTTAGTCTTTAGTCAAGACACCTTATCTTATAGGATTGCCACGAGCCCACTGGTTCGGAGATAGATGAATTTTGGAATGTTGTTGTAGAATGACATATCGTAGACATCAATTTGTACTTTGAACAAATATAAAGCACGTATAACATTTTGCTAATAAATTTTTCAGGCTGCCTGCAGCTTTTCTACCTCTTGGATAAAACGGCTCGCCTTTCGAATTCGGTGTCCGTAAAAGTAGAAGACAACAGGTATCGAGATGCATACTGCCTCAACAATTCCCAGGATTGTGCTTGCCCAATTCAAGCCCAGAGTCTTATACATTGATGGTCCCGCAAGCGGGAGGAATGCTCCCATGACACTGCGAGTGAGCATATTTCCTGCAAGCGCAGATGCGGAGTAAATGCCATAAGACCGGGCAATGTAGTTTGAGGCGTAAATGAAGACACATGCATTACCAATTCCAAAGGGAACACCGGCTAGGATAGAGACGATCCAGTGAACGTTTGGGGTACAAGTCCAGGAAAACCACAACTGGCCAATGGCCAAAAGAGTGGCACCGAAAACGACGATGCTAACCATAGCCTCTGGCTGTACCATGCCGGTTTCGGGATCCTTAGAATGAAGATTGATCACTTTACGAAACAAAGGTTCGCATGCAATGGCGACCAAGACACCGACGCCTATACCAACGAACGAAAGACCCCCGATGCCTGGCAGCCACCCACGTTCTTGTTGGAAAGCAATTGGATACGCGACGAAACATAGGTAAAGGATGCCATAAACAATCGCAACGTAGCCATCCCAAAATATACTAGAATGTTAGCCTTGGCTTTATAACATGAGAGGAAGATAGTTTACCATATCGGCTCCGTTAGGAGCATCACGAAAGGTCTCTTGAGATTGATTCCCAGCGAAGATGTAAAACCGACACCATCGTCATAGCATGTCCACCATTTTGGGTCCTGTGTCTCCTTTCTTTTTCTGGCGGCGCGCCTTTTCAAGATCACGGGGGCGTATGTTTCTTTGACAGAGGCTACCAGGACCAGGACCACACCCCCAATGATGAGGACAATCCAATTTGTCCACCTCCAGCCAAGATATTGGAACACAAACCCTCCTATGATTGGGCCATATACAGGGCCGTTGGTGGGGCCAATAGACCAGAAGCCGAATGCTAAAGCACGGTGCTTGTCCGAGACGATATCATTCACAGATGCGGGCGAGTTCGACATCAATGCACTTCCAAAGAATCCTCCAAAGAATCTGCCCACGAGGATTGAAGCAATGTTTTGAGCTAAAGCACTCGGCAACAATAAAAGCAAGAATATTATCATTGAGATAATATAGACTGGCCGCCGTCCCACAAGCTCGCTAAGTGGAGCAAAGATGATGCTCCCTATCCCCATTCCAAGAAGGTAAGTGGTGACACCAAGGAGAGCCACGATCTTCGAAACGCGAAAATCTTCTTGTAGTCCTGGAATCCCAGATGTGTACAGTGTGCTGGAGAGACTAACAACTGTAGCACCAAGACTCATAGCAGCGACAGTGAGGCCTTTGTACCAAAGCGGCCACAGACGGGGATTTTCGGGGTCGTCAGTGTCCCAGTAAACTTCGAATTCCGGAGGTGCATGTATGCTGGCCAATTTGGAAATTACTGGCTCAAGATGTGAGGCGAAGTAGGTTTCGGTGCCGATATCGAGGCTGTCAATTTGTCCAGAATCGTTGCGCAATGTTCCAGGATGATAGAGGTTGGACATTGTGGTGCACTTCAATTGAGATCCACTGAGCTGCCAAGAGGCCCCAAGGTAGTGGACGTAGTAAAATGAGTAACTCCATTTCGAAGGTTTGCCATTTATTGATATACACTTGGATAGTCGGTCTATCCCACTTGCCGGTTTATCCACAGTCGGCACCTGTGAACTTATTCATCAAGTGGGATTACCGGTGGAATTTCATTGGTGACTTTCCTTAGGGCCCCACCGGAGCTCCCAGTTACCTTTTCTCTATTTTTGCCTCCTTCACTTTTGCCATTTCACGAAGTGAAATCTAAAAGGCTTGCAAAAATTCTGCACAATGCCACCTCCTACCGATATTGTCCCCGTGTGGTTCCAATGTGACTATCCAAATTGCAATGCCAAATATCGGCGTAAAGAGCACCTCAATCGACATCGTAATCATCATGATAAGGAAATCAATCTCGCCTGTCCTTACTGTGAGAGCGTCCTGACCAGGAAGTGAGTAGTTTCTTCGATCCCGTGGGAAGACTTTCGACTCAGAGAGTAATCAGTGACCTGTTACGACGCCATATCCGGAATTACCACCCGCAGAGAGAACCGCCGCCGTCTCGAAAGTTTAGGGCATGTAGTGCATGTCATGCACGGAAAGTCCGTTGTGAAGGTGTATCCCCATGCAATGCCTGTCAACATCGCGGCGCCCTCTGTGTGCCTAGTGGGGGTGAAACCGTAA